GACCCCTAACTTGGTCTGTTTTACTCAAATCTCCATGGAGAATAGTATTTGACGGATAATCCACCAGAAAAGTTACACAGTCCGCCTTTAAATGCATTGTTTTATCGCAACAGCAGCTAAAAATGACGATGTTTTGTGTCTTTTCACTGCAGAAAACATGAAGAAATAACTCTCATAAAGAAGTTTTCTGTCTTAATTCTTTGGACTTTGATATAAATATAACCACAAAGACTTCTCAAGGATTTTTTAAACGAAAAAGTAACATTTCTTCCATTTTGTTTGTCTCTCCACAATATCGCAATAAATAAAATAATCGACAAATATTGACTTCTCAATCGTTAAAAAAAAAAAAGTTGTAGTCTTATTTTGACTATTGTTAAAGGTGCATGGTGTAACATTTTTAGCGCAGGGTCCGCCTCCTGATGTTATTGCTTTGTCTAGAATGTTCCACAGTACAGATTAAACTTATCTGTCGCCAGGGAGACAAGCAGGTTACAGCACTACGCTACATTACAGCTCAGATCTGTGGAGAGTCGCGCCTTTTCACAGCAGGAATTATTGTATTTTTCATCAACCTTTCACCAGAAAAGTTCCGCAGTGCACCTTTAGACTTTGTAACACATGCAGATTCCTGATTGCATTAAGAACACACTAGATTCAACCTTTATTTGGCAAAAAATATATTTAAAAAGTCTCATTTGTGAATAGAAATGATCATTTGACTAATGAATGACGAAATGTAAATATTATAATCACATAGAATTATAATGGAATAAACAGTCTGATATTAAAACAAGTTGTGTCTTATTTTACTTGTTTAGATCAAATTGAAATGGCTTAATTTTCTTCCAAAAATGACCTCAGATATTTTTGATATTTTTAGTTCTTGCAATTGTATTATAACCTGAATAATCACTGTTATTTAAAAGAATTATCTTGTATTATAACCTGGATCGTCACTATTATTTAAAAGAATTATCCTGAGAACTGCTTGCACATAAACATCTATTATTATTGCATTGCAGCGTTTCTTTCCATAGTTTATTTTTGCAACAGATGCCCTTCCAAACGCAGCATCTGAATGATATAGGTTGAAAACACCCAAAGTTCTGTTAACAAGACGGCAAGATATTAATAGTACAAAACATAATACATACAAACACATCATAATAGAGAATAACAGAGCATAATAAAATATGAAAAATACAATTATATGGAGACGTTTTGGAGGGACTTTGCATTTATGGTGATTTTGAGGTTAGATTTAAGAAAAATTAAGTACTAATCCTGCTTGGAGACTCCTTGTAATGGCGAGAATTCATTATATTCAAAACAGATTTGATGATCACGAAGCAAATATCGATATTTATTCATAAGGAGCTGGAAGCCTGCCCCATCTGCTCCGCCACAAAGGTCAAAGGTCACCACTGGACAATGGCCATCATCACTGGGCTTAAGACGGCACCGAGTCACACTCAGAAAGGAACCAGTGACCAGTGTTTTCAAATACACAGTGAATATAACACACGGCGTGATTTTAACTTTATCTGCCATGTGGTATTAGAGGCTTTTGATTATTTTGTACTTTTTGAGTGCCTCAGTTTTTCCTACTTCGTATTTGAGCACCAAAAGGACAGTTCTGCACAATTTTTGCCCTCAGAGCTTTGCATAATAACACATGTATGACAATATTAGCCCAAACTGAAACTTGGACGTGATAATAATGGTCACAAAGCAAAACTGTAAGATGATTTTAGTTCTGGTTGCGTTTTGTCTCATGTTAAACTTCATATAGAACTGAATTCTTTCTTTCTATCCTTATTGTATGTTTTCGTTTGTGTATTTGTTGCTTTGAAGCTGCGTTTAATTAAAGTAACACATCGTATCGTCTCGCTCTTGGTCACAATATATCGAATTCTAAGCTTGTTAAATTAAAGGTCCACTGTGTAACTTTGTGATTTTGGTTTCCGTCACCTGCTTGTTTCTGTGGAGGTGTCATTGCTCTGCCTGGAATGTCCCACGGTGTGACATAAACAGCTCTACTTTACGTTTAACCAATTACAGGTGGTTTTGTAGCGCAAAAATCCCTAGAAAAACAACATTTTAACTGTGAGCGGGGTCGCCTCTCCACAGATCTGACCTCCAACTTGGTCTGTTTTAGCCATATTTCTATGGAGAATAGTATTTAACATAATAATAATGGTCACAAAGCAAAATTCTAAGATCATTTTAGTTCTGGTTGCGTTTTGTCTTATGTCGAACTTCATATAGAGCTGAATTAAAACGCAGTCTGTCTTTCTTTCTATCCTTATTGTATGTTTTCGTTTGTGTATTTGTTGCTTTGAAGCTGCGTTTAATTAAAGTAACATATCATATCGTCATGCTTCTCACAATATATCGAATTATAAGCTTGTTAAATTGTTAAAGGTGCACTGTGTAACTTTGTTATTGGGGGTCCATCACCTGCTTGTTTTTGTGGAGATGTCATTGCTCTGCCTGGAATGTCCCACAGTGTGACATTAAACAGCTGTACTTTAGGTTTAAGCAATTACAGGTGGTTTTATAGCGCAAAAATCCCTAGAAAAACAACATTTTAACTCGCCTTTCCACAGATCTGACCTCTAATTATAGTATTTAACGCAATAATAATGGTTACAAAGCAAAACTGTAACATCATTTTGGTCCTGGATGCGTTTGTCTTATGTTAAACTTCGTATAGAACTGAATTGAAACGCCGTCTGCCTTTCTATCCGTCTTTCCTTACAGTATGTTTTCATTTTGTTGTGCTGTGTTTGTTGCTTTAAAGCTGCGGTTAATTAGAGTAACAATAGAGGTGTACCTGTTTAACAAGCTTCGTCAAATTAACCCGTTTCATTCATCAAGTCTCGGTGACATTCCCTCACACTTAACGCTGCCAATCTCAATCGAAACCCGGATTGATTTGACACCGCGGCGATACAGGCCTCAACTGTACCCCTCCCCGCGAACAGAGGCGGCTGCTGCGGTCCGCCTGTGACCTTGCGTGGGTAAATCTATACGAGAGACGAGGCGCGGATCCACCTGCTGAAATAAACATCAAAGTCCGGCCTCTTTTGAATGCGTGTGTGCGCGCGCTTTGTGGAGGGAGGGAGGGATGGAGGGAGGGAGGGCGAGAGCGCGAGGGAAGGCGATCGATCCGCCCGAGCAGCGATGATGTGATTATTGGCTTCATTATAATGAAGTAATCAGGAGATCAATGAGCGGGGATGAGCCGTGGCTTGTACCGGATTAGGGCGCAGGGATACGGGGCAGAGGAGGGGACCGAGGGGGCAAGTGGATGTGTAAGCAATTAAGCAGAAAAGACACGGGATCAGGAGCAGGTACAGGCGTGTAATTAGCTGCAACGTTATGAATTGATATAAAAAAAAAAAGAAATGAAAATCTTATAAGCCAAGGGATACAGAAAGAAGCACGATTAGTTATAAATTCCATATATATTTGTAGTAGAAATGCACAATTACGCACGGCTGCATAAGAAAGTACGTAGGTTTTACGCACAGATGAAAGACGTGAACCTTTGTGAAATTTCAATTAAATAATAAATAAAGTCCCTCTATTAAACCCGGTGTATGATGGTTTTGAATGATTAGTCTAATTTAAAAATATGTCTAGGATTGTATTAAGGTGAGAAAGGCAATAACGTTACGCGTAAAGTGCGGTAAAGTTGTTAAATTACAAATGCGTGGCTTTATTAGGAGAAAAAAAAAAAAAAAAAAGGAAGGCTCGTTTTCGCTCGTGGACATGGATACCATGCAGGCGCGCGCGAGTGTGTGTGTTTGCGCGTACACGTGTGTGGCGGGGTAGAGAAAAAGAGGGGAGAGAGAGAAAGGGGGAAACGCTCCGAGCAGAAGGGGGTAAAACAGGGGGGTCAGTCCGCGGAAGAGGAGGAAAAAAAAAAAAAGGGGGTTGGATATCTCTCCCGTCTGGCGTCGCCTTCTCCAGGAGCGCGCGATACTGAGCCAAAGCACCCGGCAGAGGACCGAGGGGCACCGACCAAGATTAAACCCACGCACGAGGAGGGAGGAAAAAGGCGAATGGCGCGAGGCTGGAGAGAGGAAGAAGCGTGAAAAAGAGGCGAGTCCGTTTCTTCTGGCCCCCGCGCCCCGTTCATGTGTGGAGCAAACGCGGACTGCTATGGATTTTCTCATTCATTTCTCCATCGATTTGGCTTTAATTAGTGACCCGCGGTGAAGGCAGGGAGACGGGACCGGGACGAGCAGCGCGAGGGGAGGCGAGGGAGGAGCTTAAGTCCAGCCGGCGGTGCCTGCGTTTAGCCCACAGTAGAGTTTGCTTATTTTATTATTTATCTATACGCAAATTCTCTTGTTAATATTTCGCTTTGTGTTCTACTTCTGAATCCGCGCCTTCTCCAAAAAACCAGCCCCATCTATGCTACTAAACCAAATCTTTTACGAGAACCAAAAATAACTACTATTACAAAGACAGTTTCCAGCGCGGATTTGTCAACAGACTTTTTTTTTCTTCCTTGCGAGGCATCAGGTGAAATACGAGTCTTATGTGGAGCGTTTGTGGACACGTTTTGAGAAAAAAGACAAACCAAAGACGGAGCAGCGGAGCCTTTACGCACATCTGTCTGGACACAGCCGATGGAGTCTACGGGAGCAGTTTCCTCGAGGATGCTCTTATAGAACCGGAGCGAGCCAAAATCCACCAAAGCTGTTTTCGCCTTTTTCCTCTTTAAGTCCAGGGACACACGATCCAAAGAAACCAAAAAAACAAAAAAAACACACATATACACACTCCAAGGATGAGATAAGCTAACGCGAACCAGCCCAAAGTCGAACATCACAATACCTCCTCTCTCTCTTCGTACACATCGCTACGAATCTAAGGACAAAAACGACCCGAAGAAAGGCCAAAGAACGAAGCGAAGGACCACGGGATAAGACTTAAGTGCAAGTAGAAATAAAAACCGACGGGCCCCCGGTCGACAGAGGACCATGTTTGTCCCCCTGCCGGTCCCCTTCGTCTTTCAGAGAACAGCGTCCGACTTCAGCGCTTGGAGACTCAAGTCATCGCTGGCTCCGCGGACCAGCCCCGGTAAGCGTCTTTTCGAATAAAATTGCACTCCAAACACCACAAATGCGCACACGTGTTACCAAACTGACAAAACACCTTGAATAAAACCGTCATTTATTCCGTTTACGCATCGCACACACACTTGTATTGCCCCATTCAAATCGCCCATTAAGTTTCATTCAAATGCGCCCAAGTCCACGTCTTTACGCACCATAAAATTTCAAGTCCACATCGCAAATAACTTAATTTTAGCCACAATATGTTACTTAAACGTCTAATTATTACACCTCAGTCATTTGCATTGCCTGTAGCGTCGTTGCAAGTGGCCAAAATTCACACCAAAACGCAAACAAAACACTTTAAAAGCACCACTTTGAATTATCCCAGTGAAATTTCCCGTTTTAATAATTTTAATCTAGGTTAATATTGTGTAAAAGTAACTCCTTTTGCCAAACAGCATCACGTCCAATCACTTACTTGTATGTATTGTAATCCCACTTAGCTGCATCCATTTAATTAGTGTCACTGTCTGATTTTGTCTGCTGTGTCTCTTCAAAGTTGTCTCTTTCTTCCACCTCAAACCAGTCTCCTCTTCTTCTTCTCCTTCTCCTTCTTCTTCTTCTCTGCTGGTTCTTGGTCGCTCAAGTTCTGGGCAATATTCATGGTCCTCTATTGATCAGGGATTATTGATCTGGGACAAGAAACTCAATGGGAGCGGAGGAGAAGTTTCATCGTAAACTTTGGTCCATCGTGTGCTTGTATAAACTATTCAAACCCTACCTGTGTCAGCACGTTATAACGAAGCGATTTAATAATAATTTAAGAGCTGGATCTTTATTTTAACATCAAAACGCGGTGTGTAATTCAAATTTAACTACACCTATTTTTCATTTATTTGAGCCGAGCTAAATTAAGTGAAGCTGCTTTGACTATATCTGTGCAAAAACATTATCTTATAAAACCGAAAATTGAAATCTTGACCTATAAAGATGAAATTATTACAATAGAAAGTTATTTTAACCATTTTTATTCCAACATATTTTCATTTTAACTTATTTAGACTTGTAAGAAAGCCCTGAATTCTCAACTCCAGTGCACAATTTTGTTAAATCGCAGAATTTGTAAAGTTGTAATCGTAAATCTATAAGCTCTCTTAATGTACGATCTTGTTATACTTTTTTAATTCTTTGTGTTGTTTTCTTGTTTTGATATCTAAACCTTTTGGTGAGTAGAAAGCCCTGACAGAAGGAGACTCAATTAGGGGAATAGGGCGATGTGTCCTCTTCAATATGTATTAATATGATAATACGATGCAGGTTTGCCCCACCGAGTCCCTTGTGGTTTCCTCTAAGCAGCATGACTTAAGGCTAATAAAAGCAAGAGGATATTTCATTTAAATATTTTTGGACATTCATTAATCTCGTGTGGAAAATTTGAATTATTTCTCCCTGTTGGCCCATATAAAGCAGTTGTATTTATTTGGCTGTGATGACAGAAGGAGGTTTGGCTTGGTGGGTTTGCTGAAGCAGGTTTTTTGTAGAATGTAAAATATTTTGGAATTAAAAATATGCGTGAAATTTTCTATAAGCAGTTTTGTGGCTTTGCTTTTGAAAAATATGAACACAAATTGCAGCTCCAATCCTGTTACATTTGGTATAGTCTCCAGTGCATGTTTTTGTGTTTTTTGTTTTAGTAATTGGAAAAAAATCTCACCCCATTTTGCTCAGAAATTATATTTGTTTACACATTTTCAGTGTATTGAGGTCTTCTTAAGTACAGTAATATCTAATGTCCGTTTGAGCAAAAAAGTTCAGAAATGCTTCCTATATTTTTCTCTATTACTGATCATTTTAGTCACCCACTTTTTTAATATACAAGTTAAAGATACATTTTCTTACATACTATTTTTTCTCTAACCTTATGTCTGTTTACAATTTGTTAAAATCACTTAAATCACTAAATATAGATTTTAAATAACATTACAATCAATAATTTTCAACTTTTGTGTGCACTGATAGAAAGAGATGTCCACAATTGTCTTCTTTTAACTTAACATGCACAAATAATATAGTTACAATCACAATAAATACCACACTGGAACAGTATATTTTTTGTACTCATTTGCACTTTGTCTTTACACGATTGGGAATTTTTTGGTTATATGATAAGATTTGAAACGGTTAAAGGTTGAATTTATAACTTCTATGACTCTTTACAGATGCAGACTAAGTACTAAAGTGTTTAATTTATTGTTGCTCATGATTTTTTAACAATATATACAGATTTAGAATAGTTTTTGTGGTTTAAATCTGCTTTTCATGAATTATTTGCAATATTATGCGCATTGAATTAACCTGCTATCACATTTTTACATTTTAAACTTTAAGCTTTGAGGCCAGCTCTGTCCTTATATGTGATTTTAATTCTAAATATAGATTTTAAATAACATTATCATCACTAATAATCAACTTTTGTGTTATCTATAGCTCTTGCGTTAGCGGTTTCTTTATTGACCATTGAAAAAATGCGCTTCTTTACCTTAATTTGCACCAGAATTAACCTGTTGTCACATTTTTACATTTTAAACTTTAAGCTTTGAAGCAGCAGTGTCCTTATATGTGATTTTAATTCTAAATATAGATTTCAAATAATCAGTATGTCAATAATATTCAGCTTTTGTGTTACATATATATCCTACATTGATGCTTTTCTTAATTGACCACTGAAAAAATGACCATAATTCTCTTGTTTAGCTTAAAACGCAGATTTAATTAACAATTTTTACATTTTAAACTTGAAGCTTTGAGGCAGCTGTGTCCTAATATGTGATTTTAATTCTAAATATAGATTTTAAATGACATTACCGTCAATAATAATCAACTTTTGTGTTATCTATAGCTCTTGAATTGATGTTTGCATTATTGACCACTGAAAAAATGCCATTCTTTACCTTAATTTGCACCAGAATTAACCTGTTGTCACATTTTTACATTTTAAACTTTAAGCTTTGAAGCAGCTGTGTCCTAATATGTGATTTTAATTCTAAATATAGATTTGAAATAGCATTACTGTTAATAATATGCAACATTTTTATAATCTGTAGCTCTTGTGTTGAGGTTTTCTTAATTGACCACTGAAAAAATACCCACAATTTCCTTCTTTACCTTTTTTTACATTTTAAACTTTAAGCTTTGAAGCAGCTTTGTGGTTTTGGTAGATTTTAATTCTAAATATAGAGTTCAAATGACATTACTGCTAATAATATCCAACTTTTTTGTCATCTGTAGCTCTTACGTTGATGTTTTCCTAATTGATCACTGAAAAAATTTAAACAATAGCTCCTTATATGTCCTTTTAACCTTAAATATAAATTTAAAATAACATCACTGTGAATAATTTCCATTTTTACATTTTAAACTTTAAGCTTTGAAGCAGCTGAGTCCTTATATGTGATTTTAATTCTAAATATAGATTTGAAATGACATTACTACCAATAAAATCCAACTTTTGTGTTATCTGTAGCTCTTGCGTTGAGGTTTTCTTAATTGGTCACTGAAAAAAATGTCCACAGTAGCCAACTTGAGTCCTCATACGTGCTTTTAATTCTAAATTTCAAATAGCATCACTGTCAATAAAACTGAGCTATCTCATTTTTACATTTCAAACTTTTACGCTTTGGAGCAGCTGCGTTGTTTTGTCAGAGTCCTTATTTGTCCTTTCCCCCATTCTCCTCTGCATATTTCCCATCCCTCCATCTGGAAATGCCCCTATGACAGATGCAGGGGTAAGTGCGTTGGGGTAATTCAGCCCATCACTTTAAGTAGGTGTCAGCGCGGAGAAAAACGGTTGGGTTTTAATGAGTTTCAGCTTGTGGCTAGTGACAGGAGACGTACAAGCAAATGCAGGCGCTGTTTTGAAGTATGGGGGGCTCCGGAGCAGTGAGGTCAATGTGCACTAGTCCTTTAAAGAAATTAAACTAAAGGAGATGGAAGAATAGAATAGGACTGCCACTGCCACGGCTACTGCTGCACTGCAAAAACTCTAATCTGGCCACGTTTGGATGACTTGAATTAAGAAAGCTTTATCATGTTTTGAGTCAATTTCATTTGACAAGTAAAATAAACAATCACATTTTGTACTTGAAACATGAAAATACATCTTGTCTTTTAAAGAAATTAAACTAAAAGAGGTGGAAAAATAGAGTGTGACTGCTGCACTGTTAAAATTACTTGAATTAAGAAAGTTTTATCGTGATTTGAGTGGGTTTAAGTAAAATGATCTAAAATTATCTACTGCTGCAATGAAGAATTGAAAATTTTTCATCGTAGTAAATTAAAATATGGAAATACATCTTGTCTTTTAAAGAAATTAAACTAAACTAGATGGAAGAATAGAACAAAACTGTGACTACTTCTACTGCTGCTTAAAATTACTTGAATTAAGAAAGTTTTATCATGATGTGAGTAGGTTTAAGTAAAATTATCTACCAATGGAATAAGACTTTTTGTACTTAAAATATGAAAATACATCTTGTCTTTTAAAGAAATTAAACTAAGCGAGAAGGAAGAATAGAACAGGACTGATATTTCTACTACTGCACTGTTAAAATTACTTGAATTAAGAAAATTTGATCATGATTTGAGTCAATTTCGCTTGACAAGTAAAATAAACAATCACCTTTTGTACTTAAAATATGAAAATACATCTCGTCTTTTAAAGAAATTAAACTAAGTGAGAAGGAAGAATAAAACGGGACTGCTACTTCTACTGCTGCACAGTTGAATTAAGAAAGTTTTATCAAGATTTGAGTAGGTTTAAGTAAAATTATCTACCAATGGAATGAGTTTTTGTACTTAAAATATGAAAATACATCTCGTCTTTTAAAGAAATTAAACTAAGCAAGAAGGAAGAATAGAACGGGACTGGTGCACTGTTAAGATGACTTGAATTAAGAAAATTTTATCATGATTTGAGTCAATTTCACTTGATAAGTAAAATAAACAATGACTTTTTGTACTTAA